TATATATATATATATATGGCTCCCAGACCCATATTGCTTTCTGGAGCTCCCGAATGCTATTCGTAAATTCGGACTCCCGAATGCCATCCGGGTCTAGGAGCCTCAGCTTTAGTATTGACGTCTGTATATGGTTTTCTGTGTTAAGTCGCAACGAATATTCGTTCGTAAACTCATCCGAAACGAATGAAAATTCAGACTTTGTCCGAATCTGAAACCCTGAACCCAATTTATTTTCAAACTCGAATCCAGAATCTTGTAATAACGAAAAATTTGAACCAAACCGGATTTTTCCACAGCTTACATGTCTACTCCCCGACCATCTCTGTCTGTGAGAGAAGATAACACTATGGTCGGGGGTCTTTAACATAAACCCATCAATAATGCACCATGATTATGACTAGTTTTGATCTCTAGTCATAAAGCCTCTGCCCTGCCTCGGTTGCATTATTGATGTCATCACGCAAATTCAATATGAGGTTTTTCGTGACATACTGTACATGGATACCCCCCAACCAATTCTTCTATTTTCTCAATCTCTCCGAAATAAATTATACCGTTCCACATTCACTGTTCCCGTTATTTCCACATGATCATAATTTTCTTCAGTTAGTAATAGTTCTAGCTCATCCATTTTGCTGGCCAAACTTCTCGCACTTGTGAACATGCATTTACATTTTTTGATGGAGTTGAGTTTTCTATTATTATTAATATTACTCTTTTTTTGGTCTCGATAGGACCACTAAAAATTTCTACCAGACTCTCATTTTTGGTCTCAGTAATTCTTGACATTTCCTCATGTCTATTAAGGGTCCCCTCTCACTTACACCCCTCTCACTTGCTTCCCTCTCCTCTGTGATGTGCGATCTATGGTATGGGAAATTATAAGCAAAGGGCACACGTAGCGGAGTAAGTTAAAATATATTTACCAGGAGAGATTTGTTACTTGTCTGTAAACCCAAAAAATTAAATTGCCCTATTAGCTCCCTATGGTATGTTCAATTCAGTTAGAGATATAGTATACGTAACAACAAGATAAACTGCCCCGGGGAGTCCTATCTGAAGACACCTCTCCCCCCCTTATAAGATAGACATATATAGCAAGAAAGGGTTAGGATTTAATGAGATGTCGTAACCATTGCAGAAGTAAAATCACAAAAAGATTTATTGTTGCATATTCTCACACGATATCAATAAAAAAGATTATTTGTCATAAAAACATATATCTCCCCATATTACCCTGCATCCCTGGGGACTTATGCCTGATACGCAAGTCGGCCAGAACACCACAGTGTGGGATGATTGTTAATATCCTAAGGAAATATATGGATATGTACAGTATGTATACAGTATATATATGAACGTGGCCATATATTTTTCTGGCAGCGTATGCAGGATAATATGGGGGGAATATATGTTTTTATGACAAATAATCTTTTTTATTGATATCGTGTGAGAATATGCAATAATAGATCTTTTTGTGATTTTACTTGTGCAATGGTTATGACATCGCATTAATCCCTAACCTTTGCTTGCTATATAAAGATATAGTATAGTGAAGTCAGTGGAAGGAGAGGAAGAGAAGCTCCATCCACAGCCCTTGCAAATGTAACTTCTTAAAGCCCCCCCTTCTAATGCAGAATATAATGCTGGGAATTATTTAATACATATGAATACTGTATTTTGCGCTCCATAAGGCGCACTGGACCATAGGACGCAGGGAGGGTAGGGTTCTGTGACCGCTGCAGTTAGTGACAGCTGAGACAGGTGGCGCTGTGATTACAGCGCCACCTGTCTCAGTGATCACACAGAGCAGACGAAGAACGGACGTCCTTCGTCTGCTCTCTGGACTCATGGTGAGCTCCTATGCCATGGTCACGGGTCCCCCAGAGGAGTGGGGGACCCCGAAAACCACGGCGGGGGGGCCCTGGACACGATCGCCGCCGCTCGATTTGATACAAGTGATCTGATTAGATCACTTGTATTAAACGAGCTGCGGGACCACGCTGTACATTTAGCTCTGCTTGTCCGGAGCAGGGCTGAATGTACAAAACAACTACTCGCTCGGCGCCCGAAACTGCGTGTTCTGGGCGTCGGGCGATAGGGATTCGCTCCATAAGATGCACAGACATTTTTGCCCCCCTTTTGGGGGGAAAAAAGTGCGTCTTATGAAGCGAAAAATACGGTCCTTTATGTTCTGCATCAGCTAGGGGATAGTGGGGAGGACACACCGATATTTATTTTATGCCCGCTCTGAGTTAGGATTCATGCGGCATACAAGCTCATAGAAGAATGATAATTTCTATTTGGGGACCTTATGGGGAAAAGTTTCCATTTCTTACAGAGTAGAAATTCATTATTTTGGCCCACTCTTCTTTCTTACTATGGGTGGTTCAGTCTTATGGCTATCAGCCTAATTCTCTATTTTTGCTGCCAAACTATCATCTCAATGTCATAGCTCCCTTAAAATTGGTCTCTTTGTAGTGCTGTTAGAAGCAAACAGATGAATTGTTAGGAACCCTTTGTTATTAGAAGCAAATAAAGCTCATTGCTCCTCTATGTGAACAACTCTCCCTTGGTACAACAGGAACAGTGTCTTAGTCTCTATGCTCTTCGGACATACCCAGACTCTCCTGGGGGAACATGACCAATGTGATAAATGGCCTGATGATATAATCCCGGATAGGATTTATATTGAGTTCAGCATGTGACTCATCATGAGGTGAGGCACTCCATCAGGTTTTGGAGCTGTGGTGGCAGGTCTTATTGGAGGTGGAGCATCTCAGTCTGTACAATGGCTTCTGCAGCCCAGCAGTAGTGATGAGCCGAACACCCCCGTGTTCGGTTCGTATTCGAACTCCCGAACGGCCGAAAAGTTTGAATACGAACTCGAACTCAATGCAAGTCAATGGGGGTCGAACGTTCGAAAATGGATGTCCCCTTTAAGAGGGCTTATATGCAAGTTATTGGCCATAGGTGTATGGGGGCCGGGTACTGCCCTAGGGGACAGTAATCAATGACAAAAAAAAAACGTTTTTAAAGGAGCAGGGATTTTAACATCACTTAAAGGGTAATAAAAAAAATGAAAAATTCCTTCAAATATCGTGCCTGGGGGGGTCCCCTTAACCTGCCTGTGAAGTGGCGGATCTGTAGGATGTATAGAACCTGCTGCAGCAAAACTGACATTTCTAAAAAAAAAAAAATGTTTCTTCTCTTAAACCATACCTACAGTGACCAAAGTAAATAAGATCATTATCAATAACATTCAATGCAAATTTGCGTGCTCCATTTTGCCATGTTACTATATGTAAGTTATAGAAAGTTGTAACATATTTCTCTCCTCTGTTGTATATTATCATACACCCTTCTCTGTCTACAGCTCACGCTCTGAAACTGATTGCTCCAATATCTTATCGAGCCGTGATGGGGGAAGATGTGACCATTCCCTGCTCATTTACAATCAATAAACCTCCTATTGATCAGAAATTTCTTTCAATATCCTGGTACTTTCAGGGAGCGGAAATATTAGGTGTTCAGAATGGGATTGTGAGATCAAGAGATCCTCGCGTGTCGTATACAGGCCGGGCAGAAAATGGAGTCGCTGATCTGTCTATCTCAGACATCACTATAACGTATGGAGGGATCTATAGGTGCGCCATACTGTACACCCCAAAGAAGGAAGAGAAGGAGATCAGATTAGATATACAAGGTAATCATGTTAGGCTATTCAATCCACTCTGTGTGTATAGCCCAGAATACATGTAACGTACTGACATGTGCAACCTGAACTATTGAAATGTAAAGGTTAACTAAATAACAGTGTTATTTAAAATAACATATATTCATTGAGAAACACTTTTTGAGAAACACTTTTAAGATAATTCTTTCTAAATTACAATTACTTTAGTAGCCTGACTTTAAGGAAAGTATCCCAACATCTGCTCACCTAAAACCAAATGTAGACAATATATGTGTGTGCACCGAAAATCGAAACACCCCGATATCGCTTATTTTATATTTTCTTATTTCATATTTAGCTTTTAATGACTTATATTTGTTTTTTAAAATTATGATTTTGGTATTTTTATATAGAAAGATTAATTTGCACATCCTTTATCATCATCATCATCATCCCCTAGCTATACTTATTAGGATATTTGCTAATGAACATTGTGTTTTTTTTAGAAAGCAACCACAGCATGAGTAGAACAGCCGGTACCCTGCCAGCATGCTGAGTCACAGCTAGAGCTTTGTTGATTCCTCAGCTCTCACTCTGAACCAGCAGAAGTCGTGTTGGACCTCTGTCATTGAGGCATTTGCTTCTACACTGAAAGCATCTGTCCCTGGAATATATTTAGCTGATTTAAACTAGAAGTTCAATCAAGCATGGGCACAGGTGAACTTTAAAAGCACAGCAGTTCCCATATGATAGCACAATGCCATAGCAGAAAGCTCAGTGACCAGTGACAAACACCAGCCACCTGCTGTGCCACACAGACCCTGCCAAAGGTTATGGTTGTCTTGTTATACAAGGGTCATTTATGATAGATATTATATTTTGCTAATGAATAAAGGGTTAAATTAATAAAATATTTTGTTATGATATAAATATGCATACGCAATTCTTAATTTCAGCCAGTCGTTGAATGAGGGGATAGAGGATAACCGCCGTTGAGAAACTGCCGATACCTCTGCAAACTAGCCTCACGAGTGAAACTTCCGATTCCGAGCCTTATGTACATGATTTCAGCTGATGCTGCGGAGTGCGTGTAGCCAGTGCCCAGATGCAACAGCGAGCCCATAAAAATGTCAGAAAACAAAAAAGAAACGGTACCAGTAATCGGCTGTCTTACTCTGCAAAATGTTAACTGGATGTAATCAGTTATGCAAAAGAGCATGGAAAATATTGCTTTCTGAATTTTGGGTAATAAAAGTGGGGGGCGTCCTATACATCGGGGCGTCTTATAGACGGAAAAATACGGTACATTGGTACTATTTGTGCACATGCATATACTGTACATGCCTGTAAATGCAAATGTAACTTGCTAAGATTTTACTTGACTGTGTCTTCTATATTTTTTGATCCTTGTATTTCTTACAGCCCAACCACAGATCACCGTTACAGACAAATTAGTTGTTAAAAATAAAGAGAGTTCTCTGAGCAGTGTCATCTCTGGATTCTATCCGGTGGACATTGACATTAAATGGCTTCGGGATGGAGAGATACTGAATAATGTCCTGGTGGGGAACCCTCAGAGAGACCCTAATGGGACTTACAGTGTGAACAGCTCAGTAACAATAACACCCACTGAGGAGGAAAGAGAGTGGGTCTTCTCCTGTAGAGTCCAACACGAGTCTCTTACTGCACCTCTCCAGGAGGACTTCCAGCTGGTGTATGGAGGTAATATTATCATTAGTCTTTATTATTAATACTCTGCAAATCATGACGTTTCCTTTAAGATTACAGTGAGCAGAATTTCAGTTTAACAATTAGTCTAGTAGACTTGGCCAAAACACAGCAGCCGGGGGACTAGGCCAGCCTCTTATGTTGCAATTGAAATACAGTTTAAGTTCTGGGCAAGTGATGAGGATTGTTTTACAGGATATTCTGTCTTTTCTCTACACTCCATCCATCTACAAACCATTATCCAAGGCTATCCCTGCCAAAAGAAAAAGCATTGCCTTGACATGTATGCCATTTGTATTGCAGATATCCCATCCGTTAACATCACTTCCCAAGCATTTAAGTTGGATGTGGAGCAGAGTGTGGTGTGCAGTGTTTATGGGTTTTACCCAGAATCCATCACTGTAAACTGGTTCTTGAATGACACCCTGTTGGAGAATGCCAAGACTCGGAGGATCAGCGGCTCAGCTGTGGAATCTGTCTATCACTTCATCCCCACAGAGCAGAACTGGGGCATGGAGCTGAGATGTGTAGTGGATCATGCAACCCTCACCACCCCACATGTGGAGAGACTGCTGGTACAAGGCATTGGTGAGTGACTCGCCTTTTAACCACTTGAAGTCACAAACTGAATGGTGTTCTTTGTAGGCTAATCAGAACACCGTACTGCATTGCTTTAAGTCCTTAGAGCCCTTTCACACAGGCATCCCGATCAGTTTTCAGGCAGTTCTGATCAGAATCCCACTGTTAGTCTATGGGCAGCTGGAGCTAAACATGAACCTACAATGGAGGAAAATACTCTACTTACCAAGCAGATGTGTCTGTTCACATCAGGTTACCTACAATCCGTCACAATCAGGTCCTCCAAAACAGAACTGGACAGAGTTGGTGGTAATTGGATGTAAACAGACACACATACAGTATGTTTAGATCCAGCTGCCCATAGACTAACATTGGGATTCCGATCAGATCAGTCTGAAAAACTAACAGGCAGACCTGATCAACCTGTCTGGCTAAAAGGGTCTTTAAGGAGCTAAGGTGGATCCCGACAATATTGTTGGGGTCTTTCTTGCCTTGGTTCTGCACATTAGGTCGCTATCTAATGACTTTGGGTCGCAGTAGTACATTAGTAAATTTGCTCTTGTGAACCAAAAGAAAGTAAACAGAAACAAGAACCATACCGCACTCCTTACCGGGATTCCCACTTGATGAGGATGGGTGCTCGAAATTACTGCGGATGGCACCGCCACACATGAACAGTAGAAAAATGTCACCAGCACACCATGAGTTGAAAAAGCAAAATATTTTATTGCCAATAGCTGTATCTCATTGGCAAGCGCTTTCGGGGCCTCGCAGGGTCCCCTTCATCTAAGCCTGATGAAGGGGACCCTGCGAGGCCCCGAAAGCGCTTGCCAATGAGATACAGCTATTGGCAATAAAATATTTTGCTTTTTCAACTCATGGTGTGCTGGTGACATTTTTCTACTGTCCAAAAGAAAGTAAGACCCCATTCACATGAGCGGTCCGATCAGGTCCACCTGTCAATTTTTCAGCCGGACCCGATCGTACACTCTATGGAAGTCTATGGGTAGCCAGGTTTAAAGGACAACTATGGGGTTAAGTCTTTTCCCCATAGTTCTCCTTAGGGTAACGGGAGGACACAAACTAGCGTCCTCCCGTCACCCTAGGCTCAGTATATCGCGAGCTGTAGCTCGCGGTATACTGAGACGCCGCAGCTGAAGCGGATCGCGACAATTATGCCGGGATCCGCCCAGCTGCGTGACTGACAGCTGGCTCTGCCTATCTAGAGGCAGAGCCAGCTGTACCCGTCCCCTCCCCCGACTGTTCCGCCAGTCAGCGCTGGCGGATCAGAGCGGGCAAGGGGGAATCCAGCCCCTCACCTGTCACGGCACAGAGCCGTGACAGGATCGAGAGGTGAGCGAACGCCGGTATGTGTTCGCTCACCTCCCGATCTACTGAGCCGACCTGTGACAGTCTCATTGTCACAGGTCGGCTAGAACTATGAGGTGAGTGAAAAGCACTCACCTCATAGTTCTCCTTTAAACAGACTAACGTCTGTTTACACCCGGTTGGCTCCGACTCCGATCATTGATCGGTTTGGACGGAGCGGACTGTGGCGGACCAGAAGTCATCTGATATAAATGGACACATGTCCGTTTACATCAGATCCCTATAGCCTTGCATGGGGTCTGGCACTTTCAGTGTTTTCCTCCATCGCAAGATGGAGGGAAATACTGTATAAACACAGATGTCACAACGATGACATCTGATCCGCGCCAATCTGATCAGGAGATGATCTGTTGACGAATCCTTTCCTGAACAGCCAGTGTCAAAGGGGCCTACAGCAAAAAAAATTTGCCTTTGCTACTCTTCTAAGGCCTAATCCATTCTACCATACAGTATATAGGCATGTAGACAGACTTTAGCAGTTAATGGGTGTCAGGGGGGATCATAGGATTGACTGGTATCTTACAATGACTCACAGAAACATGTGTAATCATGCCTTTTCTATGCATAGCAAAGAAAGCTCTTATTTCACTTTTTTTTGCAATCTTTCACAAAAACAAGAAAGCACACAATGGCACGCACTGAAAAAACACGTTCCTGCATGAAAGATGAGAAACAAGACATTTCCTACAGCGATCAGCTTTGTACCTGTACAAGAACCATACCTGATGAAAAGAGGCTCAGAGCGAGCCCCACCGCCTCATAAACAAACATTATTTTCATTGGATGTCGGTATATTTTAGCATGTACTAAAAAAGCAGCACAAGGCAAATAAACAGCATGCTGGGCTTTGCTTTATTTTTCAGATCTGAAGGCTCAGTATAAAAGACTTGTGGTATTTGCCGTTCTAGTTCTGGCCTTATTATTAGGAGCTCTAACTATTGTCACCTTACTCATTAAACAAAGAAAAAAACGTAAGCATTTGAAATGTTTTGTTACTTCACGCAGGAGAATTGTATGGATTGTATGGATTGTGTCTATACAGCTGTTTATTATATTAAAGAGTGACCAATATGAAAAGATTCCACTTTTTCATGATCAGCTAACTGTATTGTGCAATATGCCGATAGTATAAATGTGTAGCTCCCAATACTGTGCATTAGACATGCGCATTCGGATTCGGACAAACCTGCAAATCAACGAAAATCAGTTGATTCGGCGGTTCGACCGAATCCGAAATAACGAATGTATTATATGTCTGAATATACTAAAACTATATTCGGGCATACATAAATTTGTTTGCAGAACGAGCGGTGGCCATATCGGCCACCAACGCGTTCTGTGCAGGCACGCCGCCATCTTTGAGTGTATCTTGCTATACACAAAGATGCCGGCGCCCGAACATACAGGCGCCGCCATTCTTGGTGTCTACCAAGATACAGTCAAAGATGGCGGCGCACAAGAGCAGAACGCGCCGACGGCCGACATGGCCAATGCTCATTCTGTATTTCCAATGTGACGTCACACGCTGAACGAGCGGTGGCCATATCGGCCACCAGCGCGTTCTGTGCAGGCGCGGCGCCAGCTTTGACTATATCTTGGTATACACCAAAATGGCAGCGCCCGAACATACGGGCGCTGCTATCTTGGTATATGCCAAGATACACTCAAAGATGGCGGTGGGCAAGAGCAGAACGCGCCAGCGGCCAATATGGCTGCAACTCATTCTGCATTTTCAATGTGCGGTTTTGGATTCGGAGGCTCGTTGCCTCCAAATCCGAAACAGCAGAAAAAAAGTGTTTTTTTTAATGAAACAAATGGAAAAGGTTTTCGTTTTCATTTGTTTCATAAGAAAAAAAAATTTTTTTTCCGTGCACATGTCTACTGTGCATACACAAATATATAAAGTGCAAAGTTCCTAAAGTGCAAAAAAACTATTCTCTTTTCTCTCCTGATAAAGAAGCCCACTGTGCAAAAGATTCATTTCAATTAATTACCGGCAGCCGCCGGTACATTTAGGAGAACTGTGGCTGCAGCGGCCTGAGTCCTTTCAAATTCCCACTGTTCTCCGCGCCTGTGTTGGCGGAGGCAGCGGGGGCACAGACCGCTGCATACCGCCGATGCCCCCCCCGTACCTCCGGCTTCCTCTTCAGCTGGCTTCCTCTTCAGCCATTCCGTCGGCTTCCCCGGTCCGGGTGATCCTCGGTCTCCTGGTCCGGCTGCAGCTCCTCTGCCCCGCCCCCCTGCCTACTATTCATTGCAGGCTGGGAGCCATACCCAGCCTGCTATTGAATATTGTAAAATATTATAATCTTCTGAACAACAGGAACAGAGAGCAAAAGAACCGTGACCCTTCTCTATGCTATGCAAAACTCAAAAAAAATTTTTGGCTGGAGTTACACTGTTGCTTTTCACTCACCTCCTAGTTCCAGCCGACCTGTGACAATTAGACTGTCACAGGTCGGCTCAGTAGACCGGGAGGGGAGGGAACACATACCGGCGTTCGCTCACCTCTCGATCCTGTCATGGCTCTCTGCCGTGACGGGAGGGGCTGGATTCCCCTCTCCCCGCTCCGATCCGCCAGCGCTGACTGGCGGATCGGACGGGGGAGGGGGCGGGTACAGCTGGCTCTGCCTCTAGATTGTCGGAATCCGCTTCAGCTGCGGCGTCTCAGTATACCGCGAACAGCAGCTCGCGGTATACTGTGGCGTCTCAGTATACAGGAAGCTGTAGCTCACGGTATACTGAGCTTAGGGTGATGGGAGGACGCTAGTTTGTGTCCTAACGTTACCCTAAGGAGAACTGTGGGGACTATGGGGAAAAGCCTTAACCCCATAGTTCTCCTTTAAGTACAAACCTAAAGTCCCTATCTTGTATGTAACCCGGGGACTGCCTGTAATAAAGTCAATGGCCAACTGTACTGTTATTATACTCATTCACACGCTGTGATACAAGTTGTCAGTCGCTACTGATGATTCTGTTGTCATAATAGTTCTATATTTCCATATAAAGAAAATGTATCTAAAATTATGTTTGGTGTTACAGGTCTTCCAAAGGTGAGAAGTATAACTCGCTCCTTAGGGGCCACGTTCAGCTTAGATGTGAATCATTTCTATCCGGAAGCTATTACAGTATCTTGGGAGGTGATCCAGCCACCGTCAATCACACAGTCCCGTTCTATAGACTCTACAATTATGATGCATCAGAACCAGGATGGGACCTTCAATGCCACCAGCACTTGTGATAGCCTCAGAGGGATGATCCGGGAGGATGAGCCTTATACTGTGCGTGCTTCAGTGCAACACAATAAACTGAAACGTCTGTCACTTAGAGAATGGAAAAATGATGATAAAGATAACAGAGGTATGGGGAATATTCTGATATGCGGAATGAACTCTCTTGGATGCACATGGGTAAATGAATACAAAGGGCTATAATTGCAACTGCATATTATTTCCATTGGTAAAGAAAATCCAGTAAGTGAATTCATTGAATTTGTTTTCTTTGGGTGTTAGCTGTTGTTGCAATATAAGTGGACCTAGCACCAGATATAGTTCATTAATTGAAGTAAACTTTGAGGTATTTATGATGTCTCACAAAGTACACAATACTCCCCCACAAAATGTCTTCATCAGTCTTTCTCGCCAGAAGGATGGCGCCATCTTTGTCCAGGTATCATTCAGGGTCAGTATCTTCTTTCTGGACTGAGATGCCGGTTCCCGGATGACACAATCATGAAATCCTGGTGTAGTTCTTGGCTGTATTCCTAAATGTATCGCACAGAGCAGTCCCTGCTGCAGCCTCTCATCTTGTTACTTGATACAATGATTAAATCTTGTAGTTTGATCACTGGGGGAGGCGGGATTGAGGAAATGCTTCTTCCTGCCTGCAGCCAATTGATGATGTCATCTCAGCCTAGGCAGAGTCACTGAATAGAGCTCTTGGGTGATTTTTTTATTTATAAAAGGTGGAGCTTTTTTAAAAATCTATGCTGTAGCTGTACATTGTAACAAGGAATTTTTCATGCATATTCGTTAAGCTATTGAAATGTCCACGTTAATATTTCAGCCATGTACTTTATCTGCCTTGTAGACGGGGGACAAATGATTTGCGTAGTCAGCTAGTTTGCCGCAATTAGCATTGATGTGCATTAATAAACAGCATTGTCCTGCACTGACTCAATAACTTTAAACAATTCCTCTATGACCTCTTCCAGATTTTCTTTTACCGCCGAAAGTAGAGGAGATACAATTACCAAAATTGTTTGCCAACCAAAAGACACAACTGCAATGTAGAACGTCACATTTTTACCCCGATGAGCTGACTGTGGAATGGTTTTTGAAAGAAAAGGGAGAGGAGGGGATGACTTCTATAGATAATGGTGGGAGATACAAAATGCCCATCAGTAAATCTAAGCTCCTGTCAGATAAAACATATGCCAATACAGCACTTCTGGAGTTCACCCCATCAATAGAGGATCAGGGGTCAGAGATCATCTGCAAAGTGAACCATCCCAGTCTGGTGGAACCAAAAGAAATCAGAACTGAACCCTTACAAGTGTTGGGTGAGTACAGCTGCATATGCTCTAGAAACCTTTTTTCGATAACAATATTGTTATTATTATAATGATTAGTATTATTATCATTATCGCTATTATCTGTCTGCTTTATGTGTATTAAAAATGAAGAATATTCTACATAACATAAACATGTTTTTGACAAATGTCACATTGTTATGCACAGCAGGGAGTTAAAGCAAATCTAAACCCAAAATCAGAAATGTAATATTTACAGCTTACCAATTCTTAGATGTGGTGGAGGAAAGAACTAAAACTGCTGGTCCCTATGAAAGGTCTATGGGGGACATGTGTCAGCTTACATCAGATTACCCCCAATCCTGCACTATCAGGCCCATCAAAACAGAACATTGTTCCGTTTGTTTTTTTGGACCTGGCCTGAGTCGGGGGGTAAAAGGTGTAAACGGATGCCTTGGTTGGGCATCTGAACAGGTCTGCCTAAAAAACTGACAGGCAGACCCAATCGGGCCACCCGAGTGAAAGGGGCCTTATATTTTTTTCCTTCAACCCGCAATGCTGAAGAAAAACAAATGACAGATTACTCCGTTCACGCTGAACAGCATGCATGGACGAATCCTCCGTTGTAAGCAGCTAATTGGCTGCAAACTCCCTTCTGCCGAAGATTTTCCAACGTGTTCTTTCTGCAAAAGTCAATCTAATGTTTGACTTCTGCCAAGGAAATAGAGTTACCGACGCAGTGAATTTCACGCTGGTAGTGCATCCAACACTATCCTCTCCACAGGGTGGCTCCATTGCTCCTCCATAGAGTAGACAGGAAGTGTGTTACTGTCCGAATAACCAAGTGAAAATACAGAAGGATAAGCCTAAAAAGGGGAAAATAATGCAGCCACCACATTTATGGATTAATGAGCTGCGGTATATTACATATTTGTTTTTTGGGTGTAGATCCACCGTATTACTGCTTGTATAGCATTTATTATGTAGCTCAGAATCTTATGTTTCATCGTCATTTTCGGTTGCAGCCAATTAATTTCATTGGCTGCTTTGAGGTAACACTTGCTGTGGTAGACACACTGATTAATTATACCTAAATGTGTCCACACAAGTTATTCCTATTAGCCAAACAATATGGCCAATAAAAACAACATGAACAGCAGCATCTGAAATGATTTATGTTTTATATACTTCCATCTTATATTGTATTAGTTGCCTATTTTATGATTCTGTCTTGCAGCAAAGCCCAAAGTCCAGCAGCCCATACAACTCCCCATTAATGACTCCGGAGACATGGTGGCATCTTTCAACCTTTTGAGCTTTTACCCAGAAGATATAAACGTCACTTGGACATGTGGACCAACCCAGGAGAAGAAGCCATCAGAGGAGACAATCAGTGAGAATCCAGATGGCATATTTACTGTCACCAGTCAGCGTACAATTGCCGGAAATCTGTTTGATGACCCGCAATTCAGAGTCAGAGTGACATGGGACCATCCATCCATGGAGAGTCCAGAGTACAGAGAGATGTGTGTACGAGATCCAGGTGAGAAATAAATATTATTACCCAGTACACAACAAACTATCACTGTTGCATTTAACATACAGTATATTCACATTCACCTTTTCACATGTTAATCTGCAAGGACAGCTTGAATGAAAATTGATGGTTTGTTTCAGGCCACACTGGGGGTCCACAGGGTTTTTTTATACACGATGACCAGGATACAATAAATGTACGATGCAACTACTTTGCACTAGCTTCTCCCAATGCATTTACAATTTGAGCTTGCTTTTGATATTATGTAAATAAAATGAAGGGTGTTAGATATGTAACAACTCTAACAGTACTGCATTACTTAGTACCTTTAGGATAATTCTGTATGCCAGAAAATAAGGAACCACCCTCGAGATTGTTATGGCTTTAATACTTCATGATTCATTGACCCAGAGCAGCAAGTAAAATCAGAACATCTGATTGGAAGTTGCCCTGATCAGAGCAGCCAGGCAGCTAGCGTTTTCAGATGGAAATGCCAGTAATGGCAGTCTCCTTATTCCCCTTTAAAGTGGACCTTTCTGGAAATATGAACCCTGCCACTGCCGAGGCAGGGGGTATCTTCTGAACACTATGCAGTCTGTGAGGTTGGCTAGGAAGAAAGTGTAAGACTTCAGGTGACCTCTGACCCCCTGAAGCTTTAACTAGAGGGTCAAGTTTAGAAAAAGTAAGTAATGTTAAAAGTAAATATAAATTATTCATATGTTAGCCCACACAGTAATCATAACTATAGAAAGAATATTCAGTTTTCGATATGGTCCCAATCAAGATCACACCAATCAAGACCAAAAATAAAGTCTTGCAATACACACTGGGCACACAGCCTAGCCAATCATGACTTTTAGTTTTCATACTGTATAGACATGGTATGGTATATATACGTTTCTGATGTTGAGAATATCATATATGCACACTGCAGACTTTCCATGGCATCCAAAAATTTAAGAAACATCTGCAATGATTCTGCAAGAAAACCAGAAGCCCGAAATGATGTTTAAAATCTATGGCTATTGCTCAGAAAAGCTAAAAGTGACTTGGTTAGAGAAGAAGGGAGAATCTGTAACCGACTGTACACAGAGAGACATGTACAACATAGCTGTTATAAAACACGAAAGAATGGCTGATAACTCCTATCAGTGCTCCCCTTCCCTTTCCTTCACACCGACATCAGTCACTGAGGATCTGGAGTTTATCTGCAGAGTGGAACATCCCAGCCTGGAACATCCAATAGAACGAAGCACAAAACCCAGAGTGAACAGTAAGTCCTTTTACAGTAAATATGTTGCAAAGATTGTAGCAAAATTCTGTCTGGCACAAATTTGAAGAACAGATACTGAGAAGTATGTTATAGAAGTAAAACACCTTCAAAATATGAATAGTTTTCTAGATGTGTTCCCCAGTGGAATAGAGGAAAGGCAGATGCTGCCAGAAGTCCTGAACTTTGTACTGTATTTGATTTCATGCAAATACAGTTACATCTCTTCAGATGATCAACATACGGTGAGTCTCTCTGCAGCCAGTCTGATACTTGAGAATAATCCCTTTTGGTGTTAATAAGCGCATAACTTCCTTAGCTTCTTACAAGATGCAATTTAAAGGAGAATTATGAGGCAAGTGATTTTCACTCAGCCTCATAATCTGAGCCGACCTGTGACAATTAAACTGTCACAGGTCGGCTCAGTAGATCGGGAAGTGAGCAAACACATATCGTCGCTCGCTCACTTCTCGATCTATCCCTGCAGAGAGCCGTGACTGTCACTCACGGGTCACTGCAGGGATT